CAAGCCATTATGCACTTTTCTCTCTAAAATTATTTTTTTTATCCATCGCGCATTGCATGGGTTCCGTATTTATGTATAGTAGATTCAGCTAATAAAATAACAAATCAAAACTTTTTTCTTACCTTAGTAAAAACGGAATGGCCACTTAAGCGAAATGGGTATCTTTTCGACCGCAAATCTGAAACGTCAGTTCCTACTAAAGATCTGGTCTCAACAGTCCCCCAATCACCAGTTGATCAGGTAATAACTGAGGCTAAAAATAGCCACCAGTTCTTCCAAGGCAATGTTTCTCAACTTTCCTAATGCCAAGACCCTCCAATGCAGTTCCTCGTGTAGTGGCGACCCCAAACCACAAAGTTATTTTCGTTGCTATTTTTATAACTGTCTATATGTTTTACGATGATCTAATGTGACCCTTGGAAAAGGGTCGTTCGACCCTCAAAGTGGTCTTGACCCACAGGTTGAGAAACGCTGTTCTAATGAGATTAGTCATCATGATGAAACCCAAAACATGTGTCGGGATTAGTGGCGTAGCTGGGGTCGGTGTCACCCGGTGCGATAAACTTAGGGTGTCACCCCCTCCAACGACTTCCAAAACAAAACAAAAATTATATGGTCCAGAATTATAAATACGTTGATCGCGGGCCCTCAAAATAGAGAAGGAGAAGAAGTATCCACTTTTAGTTATAGTTATATTTACATTAAATTTACTTTATTAAAAAAAATCTCCTTTCCTGGTCTTTAAAGGTTGCAAATCTGTCAATCCCTTGATCAAATTCAATATCCTTCACCGAATCACTTTTAACTGATAATAGAACCAAATCATAAGGCCATGACTATTCTATGGTGGATCGTAATTAGGTCTTGATGAGCCTTAGTTTTGAAAAGCTCAGCTCACATGAAGCCACAGACACACAGATAGGAGCCAGAATGATCAATAAATTGATCTTGGGCACTTAATATATAGAAGAAAAAGAAGACAATTGAAGGCTTAGCGAGAGTATCTGAATAGATTCAAGGAAGTCCCATTCAGCTATGAATTTTAAAATATCAAATGCTGACCATTTCTTGAATTCTTAAATGTCAATATCAGCTCCCTCTAGTGTCTTCTAAGCCTATGCATTTCTTTAAACAGTTCATCCTCTTATATTTTATTTTTGAAGTCAATACATAACTTGAATTGATAGAATCTATATGGAGAACAAATTAATAACTAGATTTGGTACGTTGTCTCCATATGGATTGAACCAAATCCATAGTGTTACTTAGCTGCCATGTCTTTTTCCTGTTTGGTTTTTCCAATTATGTTTGAATCACTTCCTTTCTACATCTCTTTACTTTGTTTTTGTCAGGTTTAAGCGCCCTCTCCTATATTTTTTCTGTTTTAGGTAGGATATATATATTGACATTATGTAAATTTAATTTATACTTATTTAAATGTGATGCCGAAACGTTTAATTCTGTATAATGTACAATTATTATTAAAGCTAACTCATATTGTTCTATTGACACAATTTGTTCGTGTCTTATTAATATATTTTAAAGCTTTATTGCAGTCCAACACTTTTTATAATTAGTTAACTTATCCTCTTATAACTTATCATAGAAAAAATATTAATTTTGGAACGGACAACAATAACTCTTCTTCACTTACTGATAGTAGACACTTGAGTTGAACAGCCCCAAACATATTTAGGCTCCTTGATCACGGATGATTTTATGTGGAGTTGCACACCCGCATCTCCCTTCTCTTTCCTTCTCTCAGAGAGAGTGAAGCATCTATTAATTGTTCTTCTTTCATTCTCTTCTTAAACCTTTGTGTTCTGTTTACCGCAATTCCATATGGTTCTGATTTTAGAAGTACATTTTCAATAGCAATGTTCCACAAAGTGAAAGCGCTTCTCGTGCAGAAACAATCTTATGGCCTCTAGGTTGGTCACCACCTTGTCAATAGTAAAGCCTTTAGTCTGCAGATACTTCTGTTTAAAATTTACTTCCTCAAGTAGATCAGTCCAAAGGTAAAGGTAGTAGATAAACGTGAAGTCACAGACAGCATGTAAAAAAAGACCGTGTGGTGTTTAACAATCGTGCTCTAGTGTTAAGAGGTGGTGCCAGTGAAGAATCGGTGAAAGTGTTTATTTTAATTTAAATTAATTGTTAAAAAATGATTTGAAAATTTGGCAATCCGCCGAAGTCCGGTCCCAAATTATTTCCAATGATTAATCCTTACTTAAAAGTTTTGGGCATCATTCTGTTTTGAAATTCATGTTTGCGGCAGTGGACGATGTTGGATGGAGGTTGTCGGCCGTCGAGATGCACAAACACTCGAGCGCATTATCACTAATCATGTGTTGCCAGGGACAGCTACCGTCATGGACGATGGGCGAGGATTTCAAAATGTCGGTCAGCTCAACAACGGGATTTATGCTCACGGTGTCATTGTGCACGAGCGCGAATTTGTTGATCCAGTAGACCAGGAGATTCACACAGAAACTATTGAAGGACTTAGGATGCAAGCAAAACGTAAACTCCGCTATCAGAGTGGTAGGCTCGCTAGTCGCGATCTGTTTGCCAGCTACTTGGGGGCCAGCTGCTTGGGGCCTTTCAGTGGCGCAACAGTCACCAGCAGAACATTTTCGGCTTGTATTTGCTAATGCTATGTGCCAATGACAACATTTAGTATTTACTGACTGGTTTGTAAAGTGACAGTTATTTGCAAATGCTATGACTGACATTTCTGCTGTTTCCTAACAATACACACTGTGCATTGCAATTTTTTCATACGAAATAATTTGGGACCGAACTTCAGAGGATTGCCGAAAATTTCGTAAAATATTATTTACAACCATGTCCTATTTGGTTTAATTGAATTTGGTTGCACTCTTACCGACGCCTGTTTTTTCCCCACAAGAATCAATGTGTATTTTGTGACAGCGGACATGTTGACTGGAAAATACAACTATATATATTATTGTTACGATTGTAATAACAATTACCGGGTAACATTGTTTTTAAAAAGAAGTAAACCCTCCCCCCAAAAGCAACCATCACAAAGTGCTGATAGTTTATTTCTGTTACTGTTTAAAAATGATAACGAAACTTTTGTGGCAGTTTGATTTTTTTTTTTTGGGGGGGAGGGGTATATTTTAAAGCAATATCGCCTATGACTAGTCCACTGTGGGCGGTAATGTGTCATACTACTGACTGTATGCCCTTACCCTAGTCCAGATAACACAGTAACACATCAACCGTGTGTCGAAAATGCATGTGTTGAGAAGTTAAATAAAAATGTGTGATCGCCCTGCAGTTCTGTGTACTTAGTTGGTGTTTTTTATTAATGTTGCCCATGTTTCCTAGCAGCAAACAAGTCTAAAACATTCAGTTGATTGTTTTAAGATCATTTTTAATTTTTTTTATGAAAGACACTCCCATTTTATGTTTGTCGAAATGAGTGTAAGGTTTTAATTAAATGACGAAATTAAAACATAATATAACCTTTTCACCCCCTTCCTTCAAACTGAAGCTAAACTAACTTGAAACACAATTAATAAGCCAAGGCTTACAATAAAATTTATGTCTAGTACGCGCAGAAGAGACGAAATCAAAGTTAGTGATGTTAACAAATGTTCATTTTAATTGACATGACGAATAGAACGTCTAATAGAAATACAATGCTATCAACTTGCAGTGGAGCAAGTGAAAGAATACAATCTTCCAAATATACAAACGTTAATTTACGCACACGCGAGTAAGGAGAGACAGGTCTGCGTAAATTGTTGCAGGTCTACGTAAATTGTTGCAGGTTTGCGTAAATTGTTGCATCCAGACCAAACTTGGTAACCGCGACTGCCATAATTCCTGCCAAATAGCGATGGATTTCAAACTGCATTTAATTCACATTTTCTTCTGATGATGAATTCGGGACCAAATTTTATTGTAAATAAAGCGGTCATTCGTTAACTTGGTCAAGTGATTTCTTGATGGGTATTTGTCGTGCACCCTAATCAGTTTAAGGCCATTTTTTAAAATGTTGAAGTTCATTTATTGATTTAAATTTAAAAATATTGAAAATGTTTTTGATTACATTGTACATAGTCTTTTTCAGCACATAAATCAATACATATTTTAACCAAGAATTTTTTTTTGAAATTATTACTGCTTAAACCCCAGACACCTAAAGTATTTCTCTAGTGTAGAAAATCAGCCATCAATGAACTCCCAAGTTGGAATAATGACTTAGTTAGTGATCATTTATCTTTGGTAACCGCTGGGAGATGACTCTGATCAATTTGTACAGACTGGGAAACAAATTAATTTTAATTTCTTTCGGACCTAGCTTTGAGTGAGAGAATTCGTCCTCATTGAGTTGATCTTACGTATATGTGATGAAGAGGACACGATATTTCACCCAGAGCTAAGAGAGCTTTAATATTAACTGAAAAGAGGTGGGCACGAATTCAATGTTCACAATAGGTATTATCAATCAATTGATTCATAAGGCAAGATGATCTTGCATTTTAATTGGTATTTTAGAGAATTTAATTTTCAGGGCCCTACATTTATGTGTACTCCGACAACGCTTCCTTCAAACATTTTTTTTTCCGTATGCATAACTGAGAAAAGCCGGGTATAATGACTTGTTTTAAATAAATTGAAATGAGAAGTTTCGAGATATTTCCCCGTGCATTTCATTATTACAATTATCCATGAATCCATTTTATCTAGTTTAATGCCTGAGTTTAACTTGCTATTATATTTTAGTAAAACCAGCGTACTGTGTTTCGAAAAAATTTGCGCCTAAAACTCTGCCTAGGATGTTATCCCAAGGGCTGTGGAGCGAGATTACGGCTTGGAGCTAGAGCTTTTAGCTCAGGAGCTGTTCTCTATGGCTGTAGAACCAGTGTGGCTGGAACTGAATAAAAAATATTCTTACTGCTCCAAGCACCAACAATTAATTCAGTTAATAACAAAATTAGAAAGCACGAAACATAAGTATTCAATTGTTTTAGATATTTTTATTAGAGAGTAAACTATTTCAGTATTCAAGGAACAACCTTGGAGTCCAACCAAAAATCTAGAAAGAAGTGTAAATGCTTATTCTTTTTTTTTAAATAATCCTATGGAGATTATCGAATGCTTGGATATCTAAACGCCTCTCTTGTCATCAAAATAATATAATTTAAGTTACCACCCCGCTCTCCTGTCAGGTAAGATCATGATACAGAAATTTCTACAATTCTAGTTATTAACATGGTTTATTGGCCACAAAAGTCGAATTTCTTTTAGTTTGATGTAGCTCTTAGCAGCCCTCCAGCCCCCAAGCCTCCCCCCCCCCACTTTGTGTCCAGAGAAAAATAAATAAATGTGGATCCTTTGAATGTTTTATAGATTTAAGTCAATGCACTGAATAACCATTTACATCCAAACGCAGAGAATGCATCAGACAAACAGTTTGTGAATTATATAAATGGTTAAAGGTATATTTGTTTGGTTGTTTGTGCATGTGTGTGTGTGTGCTTGTGTGTGTGTGTGTGCGTGCGTGTGTGTGTGTGTGTAGGGATGCCAGTAACCAGTGTTAAGATTTCTTTTTTTTTTTTTTTTTGGGCCTCAATCCCCACTTGAGTAGCTGAAAAGAAAGATTAAATTGCGACACCCCTCAATTTTTTTTTTTTTTTTTTGGGCCTCAATCCCCACTTGAGTAGCTGAAAAGAAAGATTAAATTCCGACACCCCTCAAACCGACCACCATCCTGTCTATCATCACCCCACCGTCTATGTTTGTCACGTAAATAGATTCACAATAGAAACTAAATACCCGACATAATCTTCAAGTTTCTCTTGTGGGGCGAAGCCAGAAAACCCTGACGTAAAAAAAAGGGAGAAAAAAAAAAGAAAGGCTTACTGATACAGAGTAATTAGTACATTTATCGTATCATTTCATTATATCTGATAAGGGGCACAGAAAGAAATACCTTTGAACGAGTTTCATTAATTAATACACAAGTTAAATACAACAGTTCGACACAATGGCTACACATTATCCGTTAATCATTGCATTTTAAAAATCGCAAGAAAAGCGATTGTTTACTCAAAAACATGACCTCTGTAAGCTGAGTCATTGTTTTGATCAAACGAAAACTGTTTTAAAAATATTTTTTCTTAAAACATGCACAATTAATTTTTTTTTTAATGACGTTAAAATTCAAACATAAATACAATGACATTTATTTATTTTTTCTGTTTTTCGGCCTCTGATTGTCGTCTCGACCTTTCCGCAGCTCTGTGAATGATTTGACCTACTACAGGAGCCACGTTAAGCCCCACAGTTATAGGTATCCCAACAATAGGTATGAATGCGGTAAAAACACTAATGACCCCAGTGATGACGCTTGTCGACGTCCAGCCTATGTTCATGTCGTTGTCTATTTTCAAATTGTCGATTTTCGTCTTTAAATCTGTAATTCGTTCAAGGAGATCGGCCTTGTCGTGGGGTTGTAAGCTTTCGGCGTTGATCTCTGCAAGGATGTGGTCAGCTCTTTCAGCGAATGCTGTAAACGTGCTGACCAGCGTCGGAATCGTTTGATTGGTCACCTCGTCTTGAAGCCCGACTATTTTTAGATTTAATTTTCTTGCCTTCTCTGCAAGTTCAACGTCATCACGCAGCCGTGTCAGCTTTTGTTCAGCCAATGATATTGTCAGATCAAGTCTGCTTGAAAACGGTGGACTCAGCTTCTCCTGCGCTATTTTTAACCACAGCGCACCTGCTTTTGTTTCAATCTGCCTAAGGCAACTTGGCATTCCCTCATCTCTGGGATTTGCCTGGTCTATAACGTTAATTATTTGTTCAACATTTGAGATGAGTAAATCTACTTTCTTCATTATTTGCACGGTGTCCTTCATCAAACTGATCTTTGGTATTAAACATTCTACTTCAGACCTTATATTTTCCAACAGCCTTGTCTCGTCACTGTCGTAAAATATTTTTTCGGGATCGTCCATCTCATTTATGCGGGCCAAAAGGTGGTTAACCAAATCCTCTAGCTTCATGACTTCGTCCCGCGAATCTGACGTAATGACCGTACTGTTGATGTTTGCGATCAGTGAATTTATTTCGCTCTGAAATTCCACCACCAGCTTTGGCAGCAGTCCTTCCAGTTCTAATCGGTTCTGCTGTTTCTTGGCCTCGTCAAATATATCTTTTGTATAACCTTGGTCCAGCTGGTCAACAAAATCCATGAGCTGTTTCAGTTGTTCCTCCTGCTTAACGGGAAATTTGGCTTTGTTATCAAACAACACACATTTAAATCGACAGTTCTCAATTATTTTACCCAGCTCCCTGCTCTGTTCTCTTAGCCAGTCTTCGAAACATTTTTCACCATCGTAATTCACATCAAAGAGGTCTCCATGTGTAAATATGATGACGCACGATTTCCATAGATTCTCCTCACCGAAAATGCTCTTCAGGATTCGTACCGTGGCTCTGTTCTCCTCGGTGAACCGTTCGCCGTATTTAAGAACAAGAAGAATGGCCAGCTTCCCTGACGTAGGACATATGCTCATGGCGTGTATCATTTCTCGGCACGATTTCCACTTTGCTTCCGTTGAGTCCACGCTCGTGTCCATAACGCCAGGGGCGTCTACCACTGTTAATGTGTAGCCTTGTCTCGCGACGCTTGAAAACGAAATCTCTGACGTCACAGATGTGCCATCGTCACTGCATTTAAACGCACAGCTTCCTAAGATGGAGTTTCCCGTTGCACTTTTCCCGGTACCGGTTTTTCCAACAAGTAAAAAAACGAGTCTGGAATCTTCGGATGCCATCTTGCCTGTAAGAAAAAAATAATAATATAATTGTATGAATGATTGGAAAAAAAATTAGTTATTATTTAGTTGTCTTAAATACAGGAACATCGTTTTTTCAAAAATTCGTTATTTCCAGATTTCCCTTGTGCCAGAATGCTATTTGTTTGTTGTTGTTGTTGTTTTTTTGTTGTTTTATTTTTTTTGGGGGGGGGGCAAACATAAAATCTGACTTAGAATGCATAGTGTATCGATCCCGAATTGATTTTGAGATAGTAAATTCAGAGAACAATCAAATAGTGAGGTCAAAGTACGTTCGTGATTTAAAGCACCCAATGAAGATTGCAAACATATAACACACGCACACTGGGTTAGAGAGTGCTAACATACAACACACTGGGTTAGAGAGTGCTAACATATAACACACTGGGCTAGTGAGCGCTAAAATAGAACGCCTTGGGTTAAGGATTGCTAACATACAACACACTGTGTTTGAAAGGGCTAACATACAACACACTGGGTTAGAGAGTGCTAACATACAACACACTGGGTTAGAGAGTGCTAACATACAACACACTGGGTTAGAGAGTGTTAGCATACAACACACTGGGTTAGAGAGTGCTAACATATAACACACGGGGTTAGTGAGCGCTAAAATACAACACACTGGGTTAGAGAGTGCTAACATACAACACACTGGGTTAGAGAGTGCTAACATACAACACACTGGGCTAGAGAGTGCTAACATACAACACACTGGGTTACAGAGTGCTAATATACAACACACTGGGTTAAAGAGTGCTAACATACAACACACTGGGTTAAAGAGTGATAACACACAACACACTGTAAACAAAGTTACTTTTTAGCAGAGGCGTGGCTAGGGTTAGTGCCAGTCGGGGTGGGGCTAGATTTTTTTTCTCCGCCTGTTCCACGAAAACAAACTCAGTTGGCTGAAAATCCCGATGCTCATATCAAGAAAATATGACCTTGCCGCTTGGGACCTGACCGCCCTCTCCACCCCCATCCCCCTTTTTTTTCTACGACACAGCAGGTGTAAATTCTTTTGGATTCCACAACTAGTTTGAGGCTTATAAATGCTACACAGCCTCGTCTTGTGTGTGTTGAAGTCATTGGGTAAACCTGCTGTTCGTTGCGTCATAGGTTTGTCCTGTATTTTTTTTCAAGTCTAAACATAACTCGTTCAACTATTTATGAACTCTACAAGGCTTGAACTCAGTCCTTCTTATAGTATACATTAAGAAAGACATCTAGAAAGACACTGGTATTGGGTTCGATCCCAATCTGGATTTTAAAAAAAAATAAAAAAAAATATCAAGTTATTCTCCAACATAAGAAGCCCCAAAAACATGTTTGTGAGAAAAGGGAAAAAAATTTTCTTTGGAAGGAAACAACGGCCATTTGTTTTTACAATGATGTTTATAATTTTTTAAAAAACAACGAACGGTCCCACAATTAACATCTACTGTCACGGAAATCTACATAAGATTTGTTTGGTTTGTTTGGGACACTGCCATTAACATTTGCGCGAGTTTTCGTTTAAGTCAAACGATTGACAGCCTGAACACGTCAATAATGAAATCTTGGCAATGCCCATTGATCCTGTGAAATTTCATGCCCTCGCAAACGAGCCAGGGATCGTGACGTGTTGTAGGTGGCCCAGTTAAGACAAGGCGCCAAGCCAGATCTTTGAAGAGCTATATCTTTGCCAAGTGTTTGTTACCTGCGACTAGGGAAATGTTCTAGAGATGTTCAACGTGTGCCCAGTTCATTATGGCACTTATGCCAAGGCATGGACACCTGAAATAAATCTCCCGTCGCGTGAAAGTAGCTTTATAAAAAAAAAAAAAAACACGAATAGAGGGACCAAACGAGAGAGTCAAGGTGATGTGAATGGAATGGAGAGACGTTGAGAGTTCAACAGCAGAGAGTGACATTTTAGAGGGGTCCATGTTTAAAAAAAATCCCCCGTCGGGTGAAAGTAGCTTTAAAAAAAAAAAAAAAAAACACGAATAGAGGGACCAAACGAGAGAGTCAAGGTGATGTGAATGGAATGGAGAGACGTTGAGAGTTCAACAGCAGAGAGTGACATTTTAGAGGGGTCCATGTTTTACCAATTCAGCAACCCCCCCCACCACAACCACCCCACCCCACCCCAACTGTCTCGGCACATCTCGCCAGCCATTATACTGAGACTCAAATATGGACCTTGTTCACCAGTTAAGTGTGTGTTTTTCCGCTTATGCCATTGTTTTAAAAACAAACCATCAAACATGTATATTTATCAAGTGCCCATCATATGTCAAACGTGTGCTCTTAAACACCAAGTCAGTTCACCACCATGCAGTGGATGCCACTGGTTTGGGCCAATGAGTTCACAAACACCCCCGCCCCACTGAAGAGAGTTTTGCATTTCGCAGAAAATTACGGCCATAGATATATTTAAAATTTTAACCCCCCCACCTCCCGCCTCCTCTGTCCCACCCTTCCTAAATTTCTACGCTGGCGACACCCTGCCTCATGATATAATTCAACGCATTTCTAAGTCCAAGTTTTAACAATTGTTACAACTCGCCACGTCATTGAACACACTTAAGACAGGCGATTTCACCATCTCAACGCCTGAGTGGCACACGACGAGTCAACGTAACGACATTAGCTTACGCATGATAAACGTACTCAGTACGAACAACTTCTGTTGGATTTTTTTACAAATTTTATGTCTCGGAGAATTTCAGGGAAGACGTAATTCGTGAATTCCCCTGTTTCCCCTCACACAATCTATGCCCCACGTTCAAATATTTGTGAAGCAGAGTTGCTTGCCTGCTGCGGTCGCCTACTTTTACAACTGTGGGTTGGTTCCAAAAATCATGTTTATTTTTTTTTTCTAAACGCGACTCAAGTAAGTTAAGTAAGGTTAATTAAAATGTACCCACTAATATAGTTTAAAAAAAAAAATGTATCCTTTTACTCTAAACCATTTATTTCCTCTTAATTCACCGTGACGTCATCGGATCCATGTTTACTTAGCAAAACCATGGCAACCACAAATGATATGAAAGCGGAATTGATGTGCACCAACTCATTATGCTCTTTTCTCTTCAAAAATAAAATATTTTCTTTCCTTCGTGATCTAACGTTGTGCATTGCATTGGGTCCGTCTCAATGTAAAGTAGCTTCCGCAAATTACATAACAAATTGAAAAAAAATTTCTTACCTTAGTAAAAATGGAATGGCCACTTAAGCGAAATGGGCATCTTTTCACCCCCAAAATCTGAAACGTCAGTGCTTACTGAAGATCTGGTCTCAACAGCCCTCCAATCACCAGTTTGAATAAGCAATACCTGAGGCTAAAAATAACCACCAGTTCTTCTAGATAGATTAGCAATCGGATGGAAACCGAAACACATGTCGGGAATTACTGATCAACTAAAAATAAACACCAGCTATAGAGCCATGTCTCATGTGTGTAGAACGCGGTGCACAGCTCATTTCACAAGGCCGATTTAGCAACCGGGTGTGTTGTTTTAATTATTTATTTTTACAAGTGAGTATTCTGATTTTCTAACGATAATAAGAATAACGTTAAAAAAAAGGGGAAGGGGGGGGGGGGCCGCGGTAATTTAACTTATGGAGGCCTTAAAAAGTGCTTTTATGTCCAGCTTCTGTTACCTTACGAGTAATTCTGGTGCACTCGGACTGATTTTCTAACGATAATAAGAATAACGTTAAAAAAAAGGGGAAGGGGGGGGGGGCCGCGGTAATTTAACTTATGGAGGCCTTAAAAAGTGCTTTTATGTCCAGCTTCTGTTACCTTACGAGTAATTCTGGTGCACTCGGTTTTTGTAAAAGATTGTCAGTGTGAACGTATCAAGTAAGTTTTTTTTTCCAACACACGAACATTCCAGGACTTCTGATAACCAATCGTGTTGAACGTTGATAAACCGTTTGGACTCGCTGTGCATATAGATTACATATAATATTTTGAAATTTTTTGAATAGATTAAATAGCGACCGAGAAACAGTTGAGGAGTAAAGAGTTGGGGGGGGGGGGATTTTTCTTTACATTCATCGGCTGCATTCTCGGCCAACAGACGAATTGTTTTCGTGGATTTCGGGCGGGGGAAAAAAACAACAACTTAGCCTACCTAGATTTCAGTGACAATGACAGTTATCACTCGTAATAACATTTTGTTTTTGACTGACTTAGCTGCTGAGTAGGAAACCCGGGTATGGCTGCCACTCAATTTTTTTTTAAATTCCCAAGATTTGGTCAAAATATTTCCCAAGATTTCCCAAGATCAAGTTAATATATAAGAGGTTTTTTGTTTTTTTTTTAAAAGGGAAAAATATGTTGGGAATATTTTTTTAAAACGTGAGTTTTTGTCCTGGATGGGGTAGTGAATTCCCAAGATCCTGGGAAATTTCACAAGGTGTGGCAGCCCTGAACCCGGGTGTGTATGAATTAAACTAAGGTCAAATTTTCTCACGTCATTTGCATGTATAAATTCAATTGCACGTTTCTTTATATGAACATATGTTTACTAGCAACAGACCATTACGCGGGTAACAGCTTTTTCTCCAAGTTAGATCTAAAAGAATAATGTTATGAAAATCAAAATTGTGTTAAATTAATTAAAATTTAAAGCATTAATTACAAACAGAAAAGGCATTTATGATTTAAAAACTATACAAATTTGTCGCCCTCACATTCAAGCTTTTGGTGTAAAGAAAACAGATAACATAATTAGTGTCCGTAGGTCAAATCCACGTTTTGACGCAGTAATTTTGTTGCGATAAAATTCGACCCTAGGTGACCACAGCTAACATTTATTAACTTTTCTAGTAAAATTGGGATTTAAACCAAAAAAAAAAATAAAATTTCTTGCATGTTTGAAAAATGTAAACACTGGAAGAGGATGTAGAAATATTGGTTTGGACAACTTAACGAATTATTTACATCAAATCCCAAAATGAAAGAGTCACTATGAGACGCCACATGCAAAGACTGGCTGAGGTCAATACGTGACCGGCGAAGAGGCAGTTAGATTGGATGGCGTCAATACGTGACCGGCGGAGAGGCAGTTAGATTGGCTGGCGTCAAAACGGGACCGGCGGAGAGGCAGTTAGATTGGCTGGCGTCAAAACGTGACCGGCGGAGAGCCAGCTAGCTCGTCCGGACTTTAAAAGTTAAACATAATTTCCACTTCTAAAAAAAACGTATGTAATGACATCTTCACCACACCACAAAGTAGTTTTAGACTGTAGAAGAAGAAGAAGATAGGCGAAAGTTTGAAATAATAAGTATTCTTGACCAAATGATTGATCTTTTCTTTTTTATTTTAAACTTATAATTGTTATTTTGATAAATATTTGTTATGTAACTTGAAAATAAGATAAATTCCCTTTTACCAAGAAACAAACCTTGAGAGAAAAAAGAAGTCTAAGTGGTTTCTGTGACGAAAAATACAATAAAATAATAAAAATTAAAGGACCTCACGAAGCTGTTGGCAAGGTTGTGTCCAGGACAGTTATCTGCGGTTTCGCTGAAATCCTTTCTACTCCCATCTTTTGATTTATGTAGGGTTTGAAATGTATAACTATAACCGCTAATCAGTTTGTTTGTTTTTTCGGTCGAGATTAAGACGTTAAGTCACAACTGGTTCTCAAATTATGACAAACTATACGGTTGGGGAAGTGGGTTGGGGGGGGGCGGCTAGACTCCGATAAGCTTCATTAGCTTCGTAGCACACAATACGTTTGTGTAATTAAACATTCATGGCTAAGATTTAATTCAAAGGAGAAAACAAAAATTTATTTTTAACAAAGAGAGAAAGGAAAAAAAAAAAGGAATATCACAACTATTTAATAGCAAAGAAACGGAAGTTTCCCACAGCCCCCCCCACCCACCCCCCCACCCCCCAAAAAAACACACCCTCTTTTCTTACGTTATTGATGATTTATTTTAAGTTCATTAAATTAGTGTTTCTGATTGGATGACCATTTCGCAATAGCTTTTGAATGTTACATGCTTACTTTACATAAAGCTTAACTGTACTGTTAAACTTATGCAAATCGTGTTGCTTGTTATTCCAAGTTGTGACCTTTCATGACTCGGTTTGTATGGAAGTCTAAATTATTGCGTCAAAATAGATAGATATATTTTTTTTTTCAGGCTGTCAGTTTGAACTCCGTCAACAAACAATAATTCTTCTTATTCTTCTTATTGAAATAACAGCCGTGGGAGAAGACGGGACTTCAGCTTAACGGTAAGCGTTGGCTTATAAAGTGTGTAACGTCCAATTTTAGCTTTCGTTTGAAGGTGTACAGCCGAAAGGTTGTATGTGTATTTTGTCCTTTCATCAAAACATAACTCTCATTACTAGAGACAGGAAATGGGCGCGTCTTTCGTAAAAAATTTAAAAAAAAAATAATAAAATGAACTTGTAACGATGGAACTGAATGTTTTAGACTTGGTTGCTTCTAGGAATCATGGGGTAGCATTTGATGAAAAATGTAACTGCCTAGCACTGAATCAGACATTTTGATTCAACTCCTGAATACACACATTATTGACGCACAGCTGTTACTGTGTTATGCGGCCTAAGATAAGGGGACACAGCCGGTTGTTTGACACATTGCCGCCTACAGCGGACTAATCAGAAGCGATATCACTAGAAAATATGGAGTAAAAAAAGAGAGAGAGAAAATAATCAGCTGTAACGCCGTTAAAAAATAATAATAATAATTATAATTTCTAAAAAAAATTCAGGAACAAAATATATTTACTTTGCGCTAGTTATGGGGGAAAAGAAACTCCTTGTTAATTGTTATTACAATCATAACAATGATATATGTTGTTTTTTTTTCCAGTCAACATGTCTGGAGTCACAGAGTACACGTTGATACTTGTGGGTAAAACAGGCGTCGGAAAGAGTGCAACCGGAAACACAATTGCTGGAGCATCCGCGTTCAAGGTCAGCGACTCCAGTGAATCTGTTACATCTGAATGTCAAGTTAAAGAAAGTCAGCGTTTCGGTTTCAAACTGACAGTGCTGGACACACCTGGAGTAATGGACACAGCTGTCAACAGCGACGCAGCTAAAGAGAAAACGTGCAGAGAAATGATAGAGGCCATCTCCAAGTGTCCAGATTCTGGAAAACGAGCTCTCTGCCTGGTGCTGAAGTACGGCGAGCGCTTCACCGAAGAAAACAAGAAATCTTTGGACATTCTGACGCGAGTGTTTGGTGATGAATTCCTGGCCAAGTTCTGTGTCATCATAGTCACACTTGGCGATGTGTTTGATACAGAATACGAGGGGAAAAAGTCTTTTAACGAATGGTGTCAGGAAACCAAAGGAGAGCTGGGGACGTTGCTAAAACAATGTCAGTACAGGTGCGTGCTTTTCAGAAACAAAACCAAAATTGATGATATCAAGAAAAGCCAAATGAAAGAGTTGATCAAATATGTAGAGGAACTGGATGAAGGCTACACCGATGATAAATTTACAGAGGCGAAAAAGAGACACAGGCGATTGCTTCTTGAAGCGAATTTGACAAAAATACTCGACATGTTTAATACAAAGAATCGGCTGGTGTATCAAGATATAGATAACATGAGATTGAATGAGGTCGAAGAGAAGCGCGTTCTAGTTCTGAAAGATAAAGCGTTGACGGTGTTGAATGAGATTGATCAAGAGGATGAGGGTGTTTTCTATGACAGTGAAGAGAAGAGTTTGTTGGACGTTGCAAGGGTGTGTTCTCAACAGATTATTAAAAAATGTGATGATCTAATTCACTTAGCGAAATTAAAGAAGCTGAAGATTAAAATGCAAAATGAAATAATGTCACTGAATCATAAATGTATCGACTGCACGTCATCTCAATGCTCTTTAGAAACCGTGGATAAACTAGAGCAGAAAATGAAGGATTTACTTGAAGACTACAAAAGATACGGTTTGGACTTCAGCGGAGGCGACTTGATTAAGTGTCAACCGTCAATTGATTACGAGGGTGACAAAGAATTCGTGCGAGAAAATGAGCTGAGTTTCTTCGATGACGTGAAGAGGCAATGTGATCTCCTCACCAAATCACTGAGCCGCTTAAAAAACGGCGTCGTCTTCGAAACGAACAGAAACGAAATTCAAAGAAAGACGCAGTCCTTGAGGAGAGAACTGGACGCTGTGCCGAACTCAGAGATAAGCACGGGCCATTTGACAACTATTAAAACAGAAGCAGAAAGCCTTCTGCAGAAGTGGGAAGAAGACGACACCATGACTGAGGCTCTTGAGCCGTTGCGAGAGCTGCTCAGGCGGGTTGAGCTGAAGATAAAGAACTGTGAGATCAACTTCACGGCAGAGATTATTGGCGGAGCTCTCTCCGTCGCTTCCGGAGCTGTGAGCGCTATAGGGGGCGTGGCAGGTTTAAGTAAAAACTTTGTAGCCCTTGGAGTCAGCAAAGCAGCCCCAGGTGTAGCCAGCGCCATGAGAGCCAGTGGGGACGTCGTCAAGTCAGTTGTGCGTTGGGTTGGCGGAAAAGATTCTAAAGCGAAATGAAAAAAAAAAAAAAGAATTCAACAAAAAGTTGCAAATAATAACAAACGTTACAAATAATATTACAAATAGTACCAAATGTTGCAAATATACAAAACGTTGCAAAAAGTACAAAAAATTGCAAATAGTACCAAAAGATACTCATAATAAAAAAAGTTGCAACTGATGAAAAAGCTACTAATGATAACAAAAGTGGTAATAAATATCATTATAGAAGTTGTATAAAAAATGAATTCTTATGTAAAAAAGAAATAAAAAGTAACTAACTGTATTTGGTTAATTTAAAAAATTTTTATGAAACCAAAATATCGTGCCTTCTATATGCTATTATTATTAATCGAGATATTTATATATTTATATATTTTGTAAACCCTTTGGCTTTCATTTTTGTGCAATTAAATGCATTTACCATTAAAACAAATGCTCTAATCAATATTGTTGTGATATTATTTTGAGTGTTTATAAATATCAAAATGTAATTTTGAGGGGTGGTTAAAAAATAAACTCTAGTTACAACATTTCTTGTCTTACGCTGTAACCTTTGGATTGAAAATATAACACTAAGCTTATATCGCCGGGAGCAGTTAAAACTCAGTAGCTCACCTAGAGGTAGTGACACCCAAGGTGCACCACCCGCTCTTCCTACATCAGTGACAACAATAATTGAAGTTTATTATTTTTTTTTTAAACATAGATTTAAATGCGAATATGCTAGGGAAGTCTAAAATGTGTATAACTCAAGTAGAACGTTTGTTTGGCCTTGGAATTGAACAGACTTCTGCTACCGGGTACCGTCTTAAATCTAATGTCTTTCTCATCGTCAAACGAACTCTGGGATTTCTGTTTTGTTATTTTAAACTGCTCAAGATGACGGGAAGTGTAAAAGAGCCGGACACTTTTTGTCAAGATTAATTACGCACGTATCATTCATCAAATCATCATCACAAGACAAGTTGACAGTACAAGTATTAATCATTTTTAGCAAGAGGTAGTCTATACATACAATATGTAAATTTAATTTATGATTATTTTAAGGATTTTTGCTTGTGTGCCCATCCGTCTAAAATAGTTTTATTTTTTTTTTCTAATCATAATTAAAGATTTAGTTTTTTTTTGTTTTATTCAAACAAATTGTTTTGTTGCGTTCATTTCTCTTTCAGGATTCCCCATACTCTGTTTCACACATCTACCTTTTTTTTTTCTTCCTCACCTGATTGCAGTCCCCCCCCTCCCCCCTTATTACCCCCAAGATAACTTAACTCTTTACCCACGCATAACACTTTCAAGTAGATCTGAGTATAATTAAAGATTTAGTTTTTTTTTGTTTTATTCAAACAAATTGTTTTGTTGCGTTCATTTCTCTTTCAGGATTCCCCATACTCTGGTTCACACATCTACCTTTTTTTTTTCTTCCTCACCTGATTGCAGTCCCCCCCCTCCCCCCTTATTACCCCCAAGATAACTTAACTCTTTACCCACGCATAACACTTTCAAGTAGATCTGAGTTTCCCCTGACCCACCCTTCAACGGACGTTAACTAAACGAGGCAGATGCGGTCAATTGTCATCATTTGAGTATGGGTGCCAACCCGCTTCCGCCGAAACAAGCATACTGTAGCTGATTCGCTCCCCTACCCACCCTTTCCCCCCCCCCCCGGGCCATTCAATGAACAAAGCAACCATGATGAACCACTATCAGCTGAACTCGAGAGTCACGTGTATGAACAAAAAAAAATACAACAAAAAAGATGGGGAATTGTGACAAACAATATTGAATTTGGACAAACAGGATGGAAATGTGACAAACAAGATGGAAATGGGACAAACAAGATAGAAAAAAACATTAAAAAAATGGAAATGCTTGTACGAAATACTTTTAACACAAACACAACACACACAAGAAAAAAAATAATTAATTAGTTGTTTTTTTTAAACACTCTTTTCCCATAAAATTGAACTTAACTTGTATAAAATAATTATCTCCAAAAATAATTAAAAGTTGTTACAGTCATGAAGAAAGTGCGTGGGTCGCCCATGAACTCCACATTCTTTGCAAATCGCAAAGTCATGCACGCAGCAATATGGAATGATATTAGCGATATTGTGACACAATTGTTATGATGCAAGTTATTTAATCACCGAAATACGCGTTCTCACGACCGACCTGCATTAATGTTTGTACGCTCACGTCGAGTGTGATCTTGACAGGTGGAATGATATTAGCGACCTGTCAAGATCACACTCGACGTGAGCGTACAACAGTAATGCAGGTCGGTCGTGAGAACGCGTATTTCGGTGATTAAATAACTTGCATCATAACAATATTGTGTCACATAACACTTACTTGCAGCAATGGAAACGTATACATGTGTCCAACAAGCTATGCGTCAAGTCATACGATATCCTTGGATTCATGGTCACCCCAAACTTTTCTTTTCAGTCATTACGAATGAGGAACGCCCACTATGACCAAGCAAGAGAGGCGGGTCACGTGCGCATTTCTTTTATTTTAAACATAATATTAAAAAGATAATTCATGGTATATTTTTTCATTTGGTGAATTTTATTTGCAATTTTAATTTTTTTTTTCCCTTCAATTATTTATAAAGTACATTTGAAAATATTTTAATTGTGTTAGCCAGTGTCATTCAGTGTAACGTGGTAAAGGTCAATGTTAGTAGTGTAACTTCTACTCCTAAGTTGGAGATCAGTCCCCGTTTATTTCGACTCGGCTACGCGTCAACACATGGCAGAGACTTCAGGAGAGGATTGCCGTACTTAAATAAATGTACTTGACATTTAGTTGAGGGGGTTCTCATTTTGTTATACCCGTCTCCACGAGCCAACATTTACACGGGGATCCCTGACAAAATACTTTGTTTTAAATATAACGATACTTTTAAATGATCAAAATGTTATCTGAATAGAAGTGTGGGGCTCGAGAAGAGTAGGGCTTGTCAACTTTGGATGTTGGTTGATCTATGATTGTCTCGGATCTTGGTTGATCTTTGATTGTGTTGGATCTTTGTTGATCTATATGTTGGATCTTGGTTGATCTATGATTACGGCTTCTTGTTTAATTCTCAAACGAAAGTATTAAGTGTCGAAAATAATACTACGATATTTTACTAAATGAAATAACTTTTTTTTAGTGATGATTTTCGTTTCTTTCTCTGTGTGTCTTTTATTTTGATTTGTTCGGTATGGTGACTTAAATAAATACCACCGAAAAAAATATAAAACAAAAAATGTATTTTGTCTAAAGGTGTATTTGATTTAAAATCAATGGAAAAAAACAACAACATGAGAGGCTACCAATTACCCAATGTTCTCCCACAAGCAGGAAGTTTAAATTATTGCTTCGCAGGATGTCTAAAACATCGGATTGAGAACCTTTGAATGAACTTTTAGCCATCAATTAGCCCAGCAAGAAATCACATGGAGCGATTATACTGTGTTCCGTCTCTTTGTGCCGCTATCTGGAAATGTCAGAATAATTATAAAGGTCAACGGATTTGTTTTGTTTATTTTCTATTATATGTCAATAGCATCATCTGGATCGCTAACACTTATATGTCAATAGCATCATCTGGATCGCTAACACTTATATGTCAATAGCATCATCTGGATCGCTAACACTTATATGTCAATAGCATCATCTGGATCCCTAACACTTATATGTCAATAGCATCATCTGGATCGCTAACACTTATATGTCAATAGCATCATCTGGATCGCTAACACTTATATGTCAATAGCATCATCTGGATCGCTAACACTTATATGTCAATAGCATCATCTGGATCGCTAACACTTATATGTCAATAGCATCATCTGGATCGCTAACACTTATATGTCAATAGCATCATCTGGATCGCTAACACTTATATGTCAATAGCATCATCTGGATCGCTAACACTTATATGTCAATAGCATCATCTGGATCGCTAACACTTATATGTCAATAGCATCATCTGGATCGCTAACACTATTTGTTTGGTAATAATCAAAGCATATTCTTAATTCATTTTTCTTTTTAATTTAATTAGGATTTCTGTCATTTTTACACATGATAAAATAAGATAACTGCATAATCAAAAAAAATAAAAAAATAGAGGCATTTCGTTGCATCCTTTTGTGGACCACCCCATGACTATTTGTGGACCACCCCATGAGAATTTGTGGACCACCCTATGAGAATTTGTGGACCACCCTATGAGAATTTGTGGACCACCCCATGACTATTTGTGGACCACCCCATGAGAATTTGTGGACCACCCCATGAGAATTTGTGGACCACCCCCATGAGAATTTGTGGACCACCCCATGTGTATTTGTGGACAACCCCATGTGTATTTGTGGACCACCCCATGAGAATTTGTGGACCACCCTATGAGAATTTGTGGACCACCCCATGAGAATTTGTGGACCACCCCATGACTATTTGTGGACCACCCCATGAAAATTTGTGGACCACCCCATGAGAATTTGTGGACCACCCCATGAGAATTTGTGGACCACCCCATGAGAATTTGTGGACCACCCCATGAGAATTTGTGGACCACCCCATGAGAATTTGTGGACCACCCCATGAGAATTTGTGGACCACCCCATGAGATTTTGTGGACCACCCCATGAGAGTTTGTGGCCACTCAAACGAACGTTTCTCGAGCACCCCATGGGTTTTGGTGGATCCCAGCTGCTGAATCACGGGCGAGGAGAGTACTTTATGGGGTAATTATATGACTACGTTCAAGTTAAGCAGATGAGTTGTGGGGACAGGGGGTTGGTCGTCGGTGGTAATACACTATAAATGCTTCCCTGGTAAAGTAGTTCGCCTTTATTGTGTCCCCTGTTTGCCTCCAACTGGGTAAAAAAAAAATGATTTTTGTTGTCGTAGCTATTTTGGCAGTGGTGCCTGGTGAAATGGCTGGTGGAATCGACGACAAGTATGATGCGGTAGGATGAGTTATTCTAGCTAAGTTTAATTAAAAATGAATTCTTATTTACTGCAGAATTGCTTAATTGAAGGTGTGGGGGAAGAGACAATATACAATGGATACAATATCCTACAATATAATTGTAGGATATATTGAATGAGATATTGCATAAGATGTTGTGAATCTTAAAAAGATAAGTTCCATTTTGATTATGAAAAGACTTCTAATCAAAATTTTAAGCGTGAAATTTATGTTTTTTTTTGTTTTTTTTTTGTTTTTTTTTTAGCAAATAATTTCTTTAATGACAGAAAGAATGAGGAAAAAATATTAAATAATATAATCACATTATATGTTTATGAAAACTACGAGAAAATGATCAGTCGGTAAAGTCATTTTAATGCATACAGCTAAAATTTATGATGAACGGAATCAACCAATAAGCCAGAAATGT